TTTTCCATTAACATCAACAACCTAAGCACTGTGCTGGGAGAGCCACTTCATGTTGCCTTTTCCTTTTTTCCCCGAAACGTTCAGGGTAACCTGTCCCACCACTCTAGGCCTCAGCATGCATGTTATTTTCCAGAATCAGTGTGCACTATTCATCACTATTACATATCCTCCTTTCATAGCAGGCATCGCTGATAATTATTCTCTACAGTAACATGGCTACTAGGGAGAAATCTCTACATTTGGCAAGCTGCTTAGTTTGCATATTTGGTACTTACATACTTGTGCAGTCATTTTGGTGACTGCACTGCAGGCCACCTGCCATAAAAAATTTTAGGTTAATGTCACAGGAAAGCATAGTCTGTCAGATAACCAGTTAAAACCCATTTACATGTTAACTAGATTATTTTGCTTCTTTCTTGTTTGTGTTCAGGAGATGTTTAATAATGTGTAGCAGCCTATAGGAAAGAACCACAACTAAATTCATGCCCAAAGTTCCTTCTCTTCATACAACAGGATGTAGTATTCCAGACTCCATGGAGTTTTTGCTGTGTTCGTACAATAAGTGAATGCTACATTTATTTACCAGTTATACCACTACCAGTATTGAACTCAGTTCTCAGCGCTTTTACACTCTGGTAGCCCCAGTGTGAAAGGTGAAATAAGAACCTCCAATCTATCATCACAAGGATTACTATATTAAGAGGTTATATAGTTAAATAAGTACTCACAACTAAAGCAGAACAAAGATAAGGATGTTTACATTTGCAAGTTTCAATTTAGTTTTTTATCTGAGTACTATGAAATACATCTGGTTGTGACAGAACATCCTTTACTCTCTCTGAGATTCTGTTGATGTGTTAGCTTTTCTTTGTAATCCACTAAAAATATTCTTACCGATTTATTTTTCATAAGGCCATTTTCAACAAGAAATCAATGTAAAACACCCTCGTCAGTGAATGCTTTATTTCTGTGTGTATGCAGTGCTTCAATGGGGGTGGCAGCCAATGATATGACATGGGTCCACTTTTAACTTTCAACAGCGGCACTCTGCAGCTTTGGAGCAAGACAGCCCCGTGGAGAATGCCTGTAGGAGCGCTGCTGCTCCCGCCGAGCCCCTGCGAGCACTGTGGAGCTGGCTTCGGGGAGCAGCAGTGGCTGCTGGCTCCAGCTTCTCGATTTGGAGCTGTAAGTAGGGGATTTTCCAGTGCATCCAACCTCCCATTCTAGTTCCTCTGTCAGTCAGACCAGAGGACAGAAGCCCACTGAAGCTCCCACTCTGCAAGCCCACCTTTTTCCCCAGAAAACCAGGCTGGCCGTGAAGGTGGGGCACACCCTGTCATGCAAGCAAGATGCAGACAGGCTGGACACTCAGATTTAGGAACTGGGATTTGCTCCCAAGTCTCCAGATTTGACAAGTCTGAGCAGATGATATACTAAATATCATCTGTTACCTGAGAAAAGCAAGGGGTCCTGATTTCTGCTAAGCTCACAACCAGGCCCTTCCCTCACTGAAAGCACTCTATATAAGTAAAGCGTAAGTATTTGGCAGGTCACGGCCCAAGTGCTGTCAACGGAAAATATAAAAATGTTTTCTTAATTTTAGCAATCAATTCTTTTAATCATAACTGGGGTAGGTACAATATTTTCAGACAAAAATATGATTTTCTCCCAGCTGGAAGTGTACCTCCACAATTGTTGCTTTGTACATATTAATAAAGATATATCTCAAAACCGCAATAATATTGTTTGTCAAATGACATCAGACCAGTTCCGACAAGCTTAAGTATGTGCAGTGTCTGGTAATACCTTTCCTTTCTTGCCTATTAACTCTTTCCATTGTATTATTGTTCCAGCATACTATTAGCTCACACAGTAGGTAAAATTGTATTTGTTTCTAATTTTAATCCTCCCAGCACCTAAAACCTATTTGTTTTTCCAACTATAATTCGAGAAGTAGTATGTTGTGTTACTAAGGGCAGGCCTGTAAAGGATATGCACAAAGGGGCAAAGATAAGATTACCACATATGCATTTAACCGTAGACTCTTCCAAAAAAAAATCTTCCGATATACGATATTTAATCCCCAGCCCTCCGGCTGGGCCCGCACAGGTGCTTTCTTGGCCCCGGTTGCCCCCCGATCACCTTCCACGGCCGAAGCAAGGTGCACGATTCATTTTTAACTTCGAAGGGGCCCTCACCTAGCTCACAGCAGCCCACTGCTTCAAACCTGCACGCGTTG